TCACGTGGATGTGTGAACACACACAGCGTATGCATGCAAATCATTTAAAGATTATAAAAGACCGATTCATTAATCATTATAAGAATCATGAACCATAAAGCCATATTAGTGGTTCTGTAGTCAAGAGACTGAAGTGTTTCTGGGCTAGTTGGAGGCATGTTTTTCTTCTTCTTTTTTTTTTTTCTGTGTGCGTGTTTTTTGCTATAGGCACGTGCAAAACCCACTAAAAAACAACAAACAAATAACAACAACAACAAAGAGACACAGAAAGCTAAAAATCACCCCCACGAGGGGAGGCTATGCCTCGATCCCTTCTCCTCCATTCTCCTCTTGGGATCTTGGGCACACACGTACACGTGCCCTGCCTGAGTTTTAGCCACTGGGTCTTGGTGGCACGTTTTTTGAGCTGGCTGGATTCCACATGGCTGACAGTGCAGTTTGAGTACCAGGCTGGTGGCATACCTAAGACACACACCACGTGCATGTGTGCCCAAAATCTTGACAGCAGGGGAAAATGGAGAAGGGATTATGGCATGTTCATTCCCCATGGGAACTGCTTTCTCATTCCTTTCCATCTCTGTCTCTCATTCTCTCTTGGTCAATTTCTGGCCAGTGTATGTCCTCTGGCAAAATTGAAAAAAAAAATTAAGGAAAAAACGACATTTTACTGATTAGTTTGATGCCTTTTCTCTTTTCTTCTTCAGTTTTTGTTTCTGTCTTCTTTTTTTTTTTTTTTAAGAAATTTTTGCTATGGGGCATGGGGCATGTGTGCTTGCTGAAGAGAGACAGAAATAGATAGAGAGACAGAAAGTGAGAAATCACACCCCAGAGGGCATGGTCATGATGCAATATCTTCTCTGCCATTTTTCTCTCAGGATCTTGGGCATGCACGCACATATGCACAGCATGACTTATAAGTTGCCAGATCCAGGACTTGAACATAGTCAACCATGTGAGTTCAGTGATGTGACCATTAAGCTGTCTGATGGTCCTTCCTTTTCTTTTTCTTTTTTTTGGAGAGGTTTTCGCTATAGAGCACATGCGCTCACCAGACAGACAAAGAGAGATATAGAGACAGAAAGCGAGAAATCACCCCCCAGGGGGGATGGTCACGCCTCAATCCCTTCTCCTCCATTCTCCTCTTGGGATCTTGGGCACGCACGTACACGCGCCCGGCGTGAGTTTTAAGCCACCGGGTCCGGGACGTGAACCACATTCAACTATGTGGGAGTCCAGCGACATAGCCATTACACTAACTGCTGGTTCCCCTTCCTTTTCTTTTTATAAAGCAAAAATTGAGGAACATATTTTTCAACAGAGAACTTTACATTCTTTTGTCTACTAAATGTTTTTCCCTTTGCCCTTCCCACAAACCTTCTTTTACTTACTGTTTATCACCTGCTCTCCTCTCTTACATTCTTGGGTATCTACATTCACCCTCTCTACCATCATATTTTCAGATCTTTCCATTTCTGCCATAGAGTGCAGAAATGTTAAGCAAAGAGAGGCAGACTTTGAAAGATGTGCCTATTTTTAAGGACTCTAATTTTTAGCAGCTTTGGAAGTCTATGTGAAAGGCTTTAATGTCCTAGATTCAATTCAACTGAGTGTGTGTGTGTGTGTGTGTTTTCTCTAGGTGAAATTGAGGTAAATATAAAGCCAGACATAAATAAACATTGTATTCAATTTCCCTTAGTATAAAAAGAACAGCATTAGTATCAAACACAATTGAAGTAAAATCTGAGCTTGAGAACTTAATAGGAAGATGGTAATCATGTTGATTCTCAATTTACTCATTTGTCAATGGGAATAACATTATCTACTACACAAGACCATAACAGAAATCAAATGAGATAAAATAGATTACGTGTGTTAACTAAAGAAGGAAATAAATGCTTGTTAATTTCCATCTTTCCTCTCTTCTTCCTTTCTAAGTGTCTTTATTGGAAGCATCAAATGCGTTGGAATCCAGATAATTTTATTATCTTTGAGGTTAAAGAACAAACAAAGAAACAACACTCATTATAGTAGAAATGTCTTTGTGGATGCTCATACATGACCTGCCCAGATTTACAGAAAAACTGGATTTGTTAGCAGTTCTGTGAACATTAACAAATTCCTAACCCCTTTCAGCCCATTTCTCTCTCTGCACAATAAAATTAAAAATTCTTGGGGCTGGCAGGTGGCATGGTGGTTAGGAGCACTGGACTCCCACATGGGCTATAATGGTTCGAGTCCTAGACCTGCAGCTTGCTTTCTCACTTTTCCTCTCTATCACCTCTCTCCCTTTTTCACTCTATCCCTCTCTGGTCGAATTAAAAAATAAAAATAAAAAATAAAGTTAGATAAAATAATTATTTAAAAAATGATGAATTCTTACCTTGTATCTGTGACCTGTTAGGAATGTTGTATGTAAACTGCTTATCATGACACACAAATTATCAATGTTACTTGTGGAAGTGATATTCCGTCTTACATCCAAAGATGATTCATTGAAAGAAAATGATTTTACTCTTTTCTCCTGCACTTCAGTTGTTTGAATGTATATAAAGTTATGTGTGTAATATCCACAATTTGAGAGATTAAGAATACTGAATAGATACATACAATGTTTATGCTTATTGGGCATTGTGATAAGCATTAACTTAAAATGCTTTCACTAGTTTCACCAAAACAAAATGATTTCAATTGCTTGATGTTAATAAATATTACTTCACTGAGGAAGATAAAAGAACTGATCCAATAAGAAATAAAATCCAAGGGGGACCAGCAGATGGCATAATGGTTACTTTGTTGGACTTCTAGTCCATGGTTCTAGTCTTGGACCCAGTGGCTTAAAGCACCAGGTGCATGTGCGTGCGTGCCCAAGATCTCAAGAGGAGAATAGAGGAAAAGGGATTGTGGCATGGCCATTACTCATGGGGGGATGAGTCTAAATTTCTGTCTCTCTGTCTCTCCGATGAGTGCATGTACTCTACAGCAAGTGTCTCTTTTAAAAAAAGAAAAGAAAAGAAAAAGAAAGAATCTAATATATAGCCTCAGGAACACATATGCCAATGGGAAGCTTTGATGAGATATACAGTGGGAGGATCTCCCCTCATCTATGACAGAACAACAGGGAGAAGGGCATGAAGAAAACATGCATGATGAGAAAACAGAGCTCTGGTTATATGTCCTAGAATTTTTGAGTACTGGTTTATTTTCAAGCTCCCCACATTTCCACAGTTGAAAAGGTGGACAGTTATGACTATGCCTAGGTCAGAAACTCACTGCCACATGATCTGTCATGGGCTAATGTCCACATAGCTATCATTGGCTGCTAGCAATCGCTGGCCATTTCTATCCTAAGAAGGGACCTCCAGATACTAAGAATATGTGGCATTGAGACATAGAGTGGGAGATTCAGAAAAATCCAGTGCTTAATATTGTAATGTGTTCTTTGTCTAGTTACCTAAATGTATGTGTGGAGGAGACAGGTGTTACAATAAGCTAATATAATTTACTTAGACAGGATTGCTTTAAATTTATTTCCTCTGTTTTTACTTCTTTAAGAATTCTTCATTTAATATCCAGAAAAAAAACTTCATTATTTATAAATATTATGTTATTTTCTAGGTTTAATTTTTTCCCCCAATTTTGGCATGTAAAGTGTTTTTAACTTTTTATTTATTTATTTATTTATTTATTTAGAGAAGCTTTTGCCTTAGGGCATGTGTGCTTGCCAGAAAGAGACAGAGACAGTGAGAGGAAAGTGAGAAGTCACCCCCCAACCAGGGTGATGGTCACACTGTAATCCCTTCTCCGTTTTCCTCCTCGGATTTTGGGCACGCACGCACAAGAACCCTGTGTGAATTTCAAGCCACTGGGTCCAGGACTCTAACTGCAGTCAGCCGGGTGGAAGTCCACTGACATAACCACTACGCCATCTGCTGGCCCCATAACTTTCTATTCTTAATACATAACCGAAAATCCTACCTCTGTACTTTGTATTAACACTTCATACGTACCTATCATTCTTTCCTGCTGTGTCTGGATTCTCTTACACTCTCAATAATATATGGATTAGTAAAATTTTGATGAATCTCTGGATTAAAAGCAATGAATGGTTTGGTCTT